ACCACCCTGCCACCTGCTGGCCCTGTGGCTGCTTTCTTCTACCACAGCAGGGACAGAGGTTGTATGGCTCACAAACTCAAAACGTACTGTTTGGTTTCCTGACCCCCTAAGCTATTTTTTTTGTTAATATTGATACTAAAACTTGGGAATTAAAAGTAAAATAGGGTAAAAAACAAGTTTAAAAAAAATATATATATATATCGGGAACCAGCAGTTAGCGTAATGGCTCTGTTGCTGTACTCCCACATAGTCGACCGCAGTTCACGTTCCGGACCCGGTAGCTTAAAACTCACGCTGGGCGTGTGTGTGTGTGCCCAAGATCCCAAGAGGAGAATGGAGTAGAAGGGATTGCGGCTCTCTCGCTTTCTGTCTCTCTGTCTCTGTCTGTCTGTCTGGCGAGTGCACGTGCCCTATAGTGAAAAAGCCTCTCCCCACCCCCCCCAAAAAAATATATATCATACATGAAGCTTAAAAATAAAAGAACTATGGAAACATGCATATGTATTAAAAAGATGCCAGAACTATATTAAGAAATGTGAGGACCAGCGGTTAGCGTAATGGCTATGTTGCTGGACTCCCACGTAATCATCCATGGTTCACATCCCAGACCTGGTGGCTTGAACTCACACCGGGCACGTGTGCGTGCGTACCCAAGATCCCGAGAGGAGAATGGAGGAGAAGGGATTTCGGCATGACCATCCCCCCTGGGGGGTGATTTCTCGCTTTCTGTCTCTCTGTCTGTCTGGCGAACGCACGCGCCCTATAGCAAAAACCTTTAAAAAAATAAAAGAAATGTGATACAATGCTAATATTCATGACTGCTTTGAAATATCTTTGTAATAATTTTTTTATTTAAAAGTTTGGTCCTCTTTGGGGCCAGCAGTTGGCATTGGTGGTTAAAGGCTCTGGACTCTCACATGGCTGAGTGTAGTTCAAGTCCTGGACCTGGTGCCTTGCTTTCTCTCTTTCTCTCTTCTCTGTTCTCTCTAGTCAAATTAAAATAAAGCAAAAAAATGAAATAACATAAACAATACTTAAAAAATTTTTTTTGAGCTTCCAAATAGTTAAAAAAAGAGAAGTGCATATTCATTGTCTAAGGGCACATAGGTATCTAGAAACAAAAAGGCACACAAATAATATTTTATATAATTGCTTTTAATATATTGAGGTTACCTTTCTTTGTGTGATATGTAAGTTATTTGTGTGTATTTAACTTAATTTTTAAATTGTATTTTGTAGCAATATTTTTAAAGAATTATATATTATTTAACTTTATCTACCTACTCATTTATTTTAATTTGACCAGAGAGGCTCAAGAGAGAGGGAAAGTGAGAAAGAAAGCCTCCAGGTCCAGGACTCAAACTGCAGTTGGCCATGTGAAAGTCCAGCGCCCTTAACAGCCAAGCCACTTGCTGGCCCTTTAGCATTATTTTTCTACTAAGAGTCCTATAGTGACATTTTTTCATAATGTTAAAAGGTAGCATTTATTAGTTGCTTACTATATGGTACATGCACAAAGCAGCATTTTACTTATTACCTGATTTAATTCTCACAACTCAGTGTGGTGAGTACTGTATTCTACTACTTTATAATTGATATTCTAAGAGATCTGAGTAACTGGATGAAGATGATAAATATATTAAGTGCTGAAACCTAGTCTTTCTTATGCCAGATCCAACCATGTTCCAAATCACTATGACTAAAGTAGGGCTTAAAGCCATGGTTCTCAGCCATGGGTGATTTGACTCTTGGGAGCACAATGTGTGGAGACATTTCTGGTTATGACACCTGAAGTGGTGATGCTGGGTAGAGGCCAGGGATGCTTCTAAACAGTATAAAATGTGCAAGACAGCATCTCCTCACACCATGCCCCCCAAATGTCAGCAGTTCCAAGGCTGAGAAAACCAGTTTAAAAGAAGGGTTCTAAAGTTAGAGTCATGGAACATAAAGAATTAAAAATGAGATCCTAGCCTTAACTCACCTGTCTGCAGAAGTTTTAAGAGAGACTGTACCTATTCTTAGAATCCTCAAAGTAAATGCTGTACCATTATACCTAGATGTGGTACCTCCCAAAGATATGAAAAATCAAAACAAGATGGGCACTTTCTATAGCTAATTTTTCCATCTTATTTTTATGTCTCTTGGGCCTCTGCAATACCTTAATTTGGAGAGGTTGGCTAGGTGACTAGGGGTTTTAAGTATGACATCATGAGTTTTTACAGCCTCCATGTCTAGGAAAGTGTGCATTTCTTTCAACTTTGCCACCTCTGGAGAGCTGTCTTGAGAAGGCTCAGTAATGACCTTTAGTTAAGTACTGGAGCATGTGCATATGTTTTTAGTTGCTATATTAAGTCTTAAGGATGTAGATTAAAATAGAATAGTATCTAAGACATGTCCTAGAGATAACAACCAAAACATGTTGAGAACATTTGAATTTCAGAAATAGGAGAAATTTGTATGGACAAAAATATACAGAGTAGACTGTATGGAAATAGGAATTTGCCTACTATCTTGAAGCAAAAGAAGAAAGAGGATATTCTAGATTTTGGTGGCAAGAGAGGGAAGGGGTAAAGGACAGAAAAAAATGAGTAAAGATATGTTGAGTTTGTGTATTTATCAGAGAGAGAGAGAATGAGAAAATGCCAGCATATCGTGATAAAGTATAGGCGAATATTTTCCCAAAGAGATTAAGAAGTTCTTTGGCTAACTTATTTATATAAACTTTTAGGGATGATAATATTTTGACGAAAGAGTCAAATGTCTGCTTATATTTAATTGAAGTAAAATATGTGTATTTATTAGGAATCACATTTTATTTGAAAAATGATGCTTTTTCTATTCTTATTTTTAAAAAGAATTACTTAATTTTATTAGTTTTATTTTAATTTGATGAGAGAGAGAAAGAAAGCGAGAAAGCCAGCCATCAAGTCCAGGACTTGAACCATGGTCATCCACATGAGAGTGCAGTTCCCTTAAACACCACACCACCTGCTGGCCCCTCTACTCACATTTTATAAAACAATTTGAGAAAACTTCTACATCCTTGTCTTTATCACTAAAGACATTTGTAGGAAATAAATCACTAGATGCTAGATTGGGAAGGGAACTCAAAAAAGAAAACTGAACCAGAGACTTGATGTATATTCAGAATATGAATATGCTGGGTACCAGCAGGTAGCATGGTGGTTAAGGTGCTGGACACTCCCACATGACCAACTACAGTTCGAGTCCTGGACCTGGTGGCTTACTTTCTCACTTTCCCTCTTTCTCGCTCTCTGTCTCTCTCTCTGGTCAAATTAAAATCAATGAATGAATATGTAAAATTAACAGAATACTGTATATATGTGTGATTTTTGATTGATTAAGTAGAATTATGAATTATCAATTGAAATTTCCATAAAAAACTGATAAACAAATTGTATGGTGTAATCAGGAAATGAAAATTAGTAAGAGTCGAGTTCTAAAGACATTATCTTCTACATCTCTTTTTGTTTAAGAGAAAAAACTTGAGACTGGCCCTGTAGTTTTGTAACTAGTGGTTAAGGGATCTGATCCCACATGGCCAACTGCAGTTTGAATCCCAGCCTTAGCAGCTTGAACAATATGTTCGGTGCATGCGCATGTGTGTCCGTGCATACCTTAAATCTTGAGAGGATGGAGAAATGGAGAAGGGATTGTGGCAGGACTACATCCCAATTTTTTTGGGGGGGGGCAGGTGCTTTTCCCCTCTCCCTGTCTCTGTCTCTCTGGTAAATGCACACACCCTCTGGGGGAAAGAAAAAAATACATTAAATGTATGTATGATTAGATTGTTAGTGAAAGAAAACAATGCAGAAGTATATATCTACAGCCCAAAGTACATGTATTTTTGGAAAGTTACATTACTCCAAAAGAGATTACTTTTTAGAAAAATTCTGTAATAAAGCCAGAGTCCAATGAAATTATTCTTTATTCATACAATTAAGTTTGAGTTGATATTATTGAGAGTTAGATATTTTGACTAATAGAAATTATAGCTTTGGTTTTTTTTTTTTTTTGGAGAGGTTTTCGCTATAGGGCAGG